AAGGACAAGAACCCTCCCAACACGCCAGAGCTCCGCCCAATTGAGAAATACTGGGCTATTGTCAAGCGGAACCTAAAGAAGACCAAAAAAACTGCTAAGGGCGAGCAGCAGTTCAAGGCAAACTGGCTTTCTGCGGCGAAGAAGGTGGACAAGGTGGCTGTACAAAATCTGATGGCAGGGGTCAAGCGTAAGGCCCGGCAATTCGGATTTGGAAAAGCGGAAGCCTAACTGAATATTTTTCCTGAATTTTATACTAATTGAACTTGAAAAAGAAATTTAATTTGATTTTTTAAATAAACGATTTCACCGATTTACACGCGTTTTCCCTTGACCAAATTTTGACCGTATCACCCTTTATTGGTATCCCGTTGGACGACGCCCTATACAAAATAATCCAACGGATTGATATCGGGACTGCTTGGGGGCCAAATTTCTTCCTCCCAAAGTAACGAAATATTTTCCGTAAGCCATTTCTGTGCTTTATTAGCAGTATGAGCAGGTGCTCCGTCTTATCCCTTTCCCAAGCCTTTTTTATTATTATACACTGTTCTTTCAGACACATTTACCGACCGAATTATTTCTTTCATGCATACTCCGGCGCGCAACAAAGCGACAACGGCTGACAGATTGCTGTCTTGTTTCGACATCTTTACGTTTACTCAACATTGTTTGTTTAAATCTTACACCTAACAGTATAAGCTATCCAGTGCTGCCAAATATATCTAAATCATGATGCACAAGCATGAGAAATTACTATTTGAAATTTACTGCAAAAATTCGTCACGCACCCTGTATATGTGCCAAAATATGATTTGTTTACATTTTGGCTCTTCCGCCCCTTTCAAATGTTAGTCTAGAACTGCTGTAAGCTGTTATGGAAGTTGCGGTTGCATTCGGGTGTAAACCAAAAATCATTAAAATCAATCTCACCACAGTTTGGTGAGATTTGCAGTTGGTGAGTTTGGTTAGCTTGAAATTCCGAGCTGCGATATCACAGCTTGCAAAATCAACCGCAATAGTTTGCTTGTTGATTTTTGTCTACGAAAATCAAGCGTGATCTTGGGCGTTGATGAGATTTGATTTTTTGATATTTTCGCAACACTGCAACCAACAAACGGCATGAAAAAACCTCGAAGCAAATGAAGCAGCCTACTCCATCCAAGGGCCCGAAATGCAGAAAACGGACACATCACCAGGGACTGCAAGGATTCAAGGAAAGGTGACACATTTTGCACGGTTCTATCTACGTTTGGCAAGAAGGATGCGAACGACTGGATTTTCGATTTTGCGGCGTATGCACATATGACGAGCAATCGAGAGCTCCTCACAAATCAGGATCAAGCAGACGGTAAGGTTGTTGCAGCTAACGGTGACATGATGGATATCGTTGCCTGCGAAACGGCAAATCTTCGATCGGTGTGCAGGGATGCTCAAGAAAACGTTGCAGTGTGTGACGTGCAGCTTATTCCTGGGTTGACGGCGAATCTTCTCTCGGTCACCAGAATCTACAGCTGTTTACCTGATTTGATCACCTAGCGTGGAGTGGTCCAGGTTCCAAAGCAGAAACGAGGCAAGTGGGACCTCAAATCCCACGAATGCGTGCTGACGGGATTCGATGAAGAAACCAAGGGATATCGTCTGTACGACCCGAAGAAGAAGGTAACTATCAAGAGCCGTGAAGTCGTTTTCCTGGACGAAGGAGTCCCATCGGAAGCTGCAGGTCCCGATGCTCGGCGTAGCAAGGCAACGTTTGCCAGACTGGAAGTCGAGGAACCGTTTGAGACCGTATTCGAACCGATCATTCCAATTGAACCGACCGTGCCTTGCGAATCGGATACAGAAGACGAGAACCATGAAGCAGATGATTCAAGCGGCGATAACGATACCAACACATCCACACTGACTGACCGTGTGATCCCTCTGCGACAAACTTCAGAACCACCTCGGTCAAAGGTGTTGAGGCGCAGCGGATGGAAGCACGTGCTTCCAGGCAAGTACAAAGATATTCGCGTTGATAGTACTGGCCTTCCTGGTATCTCACTTTCACAGCCAATCTCCGATGAATCGAGCGACTTCCATGGTTTCCCCGTTGACGATAGCACTGGTGGACCGAGCGACTACGACGGTCTAGTGGCATTAGCATCTGGCATGGATGGTGAATTCGGAGACGACCCCGTTTCTCATCAAGAAGCATTGGCTCGGGACGATAGCAATGCGTGGAAGCGTGCCATGCAAGAGGAGTTCGACGCACTGGGGGACCCTCACCAAGCTACCGAAGGGAAGGAAGGCAATCAAGTGCAAATGGGTGTACAAAACGAAACGTGATGCTGCAGAAGGAGTTCAACGGCACAAGGCGCGGCTGGTCAGGGCACAGCGAAAGAGGGTAGACTACGATGAAACGTATGCTCCCGTTGTTCGCTATAGTTCACTGCGATTCCTTTTCGTCCTGGCTGTCAAGCACGACGTCACGATCGACCAGATGGATGCAGTGACGGCTTTCCTGCAAGGTGACCTGGACGAGGAAATATACATGGAACAGCTCCCATGCTTCGTTGACGGAAGAAGGAAGACCGAGGTGTGCAAGCTGAATAAGGCGTTGAAGGCTATGAAGGATGTTCCACTCGACCGGACATACTGTTCACCGTGAATACCCTCAGCCGATTCAACAATAATCCAGGTATCAAGCACTGGAATGCGATGAAGGATGTTCTGCGTTACTTACGTGGAACCTCAAACTTGAAGTTGGTCTACAACAAGCATACCGATTCAAGCATAGTCGGCTACTGCGACGCGGATTGGAGATCCGATCCGGACGAACATAAGTCAACCAGCGGCAACGTTTTCATGGCTCAAGGCGGCGCTACATATTTCGTGGTCATCGTGTTCCTATGTCCGTTTCGGCTGCGGTACAGGAAGCGTCCTGGTGACGAGGACTTTCTGCGCTATTCAACGAAGAAGGAGAAATGGAAATCCGCTGCGTTATAATCCTCGCACGAAGCATATCGACATACGCCATCACTACATCAGGGACGCTTTGGATCGTGGTGTGGTGAAACTGGTTTACGTTGGCACGGAGGAGCAGATCGCTGATGGATTAACCAAACCATTGCAGAGGACGAAGTTTGAAGAGAGCCGTACGATGATGGGAATCTCTGCGGCTTGATGAGGAATGTTGAACCGAAGCTGTTAGCAATCGAAGCAAGCCTTGACATTTATACTTAATTGTAAACCTCTTAATTAAAATTAGTTCTTCTCTAACCACTACCAAAGACAGACGTCTTTAGCTACTCTCTACAAGGTTCTTTTCGGATGTTCAGATCTATTTTTAAAAATTTCCCGGTAAAAAAAAGGAATTCCATAAATTATAAAATCAACGAAATAGACTAGCAAAACTTTTTTTTTTAAACTTTATTTTCAGCCATAGACTCGTTCATCACATAGGAAGCATCGACCTTGAAGCCTCGTGAACAACCTCTAAACATGGAAATTACTTGCTTTATGCGGTGGCTTTCTCTCAGTCTAATAAAGTTCGATTGACTTAACATCTGGACACAAGAAATTAGCTCTATTTTGGGATTTTTTTTTTGATGAAATAAAACAGTTGAGCAGTCAAAATAAAATATTTTTATTGCACCTTCAGGAAAAAAATATTAACAGTATTACTCCGATTTGGTTTTGATGGATTTGGCATATTTTGGACCAGGATTAGAACATATTTTGGACTTCCTGAATGTGCTCATTATTATTATTATTATTTATCTTTATTAGGGAGGCTTTCAGCCTGGGGCTGGTTCGCCTCCATGTATGTGCTCATAATTTTATTGAATTTATGAGTAAATAAAGTGAATCTTTAAATATTACCTGTGATTGACACTGACGCTCTGCTCAGGTTGGAGTGTTTCCTTTTAATTCTACTACAGTTAATCCATTTTTACTATTTTAAAAAACTACAACCGGTAAGTTTTTCGTTTACAACTTGCAAGTGTAGGTAGTGTTCATCGCGAATTTTCACTTTTTTCCTGAATATCCTATATGATGAAGATCTCATGGTATAAAACCAGTGGCGTCCAATAACCTCACTTCTACCTGTGCAAAAACTTTCAAAAACAGATTTAATGCCATATTCATACTCGAATCGGTTGAAAAATACCCTAGTAAATCTTCTAGTTTACTCGATATCTATCCATTGCAAGCAATATTTTGATAATTGTTTATGTTTTGAGAGTTGGTGCACGGGTAGATTGAGATTAAGGAAACGCCACTGTATAAAATATCTTTAAGAACCAGCTTGATAGAATACACAACGGGCAACCTTGTCCGTAACATCGAAATATCCCATTCAGTGGCGTTTCCTTAACCTCAATCTTCCTGTGCACCAACTCTCAAAACATGTGATGTAGTGTGTAAGCGTGACTGCTTTTTCACCCCAATGGGCCTGGGTTCAATCCCAGCCGAGGTCGGTGGACTTTTTCTGAGCAGAAAAGGGAAATAAATGTTAGAAAATGTGAATATTCCTGTGTGTTTCATACTTTGTCCGCGTAGCCCCTCCGAATACCCAGTAACATGCCGGCCCTGCGACACAGTTCAGGGATATCATGCTACTGAGTTAGTTACCCGGGAGTGTCTGGTCAGGCCATAGTCACAATTGGTCACAATCAAGTAAATTTGAGTAAATTGGAAGATTTAGTGTATTTTTCAACGATTCGAGAATATGGCATTAAAAATCTGGTTTTGAAAGTTGGTGCACAGGTGACGGTGAGGTTACGGAACGCCACTGATTCCATTTCATGGGCACATTTTTACAGTGACCGCTTCTTACGAGAAATCCTCGCAAAACATCGGAGAGATACGGCAATTTGAATTTGGAGGCAAAACTAACTTCAGGGTACACACACCGTAAGTTTTGATGGTACATACGAAGCGTCTAAACAGCCGTTATATGCATAACTTTCCCATGTTCTATCCAATCCTTATGGACCGTGGGGCGCTTATGGCAGTTAAAGGTGTTCAAAAATGTTCATTCAATTTCATCTTTGAATGTAGACACAAACCAGAATAGTAGGCTTTTCGACTTGCCAAACCGTCAGTTGCATTCGGACAATGTTGATCAAAATTCCTAGTGTTAGTTTTTAATAAACATATGATTAAAATAGATAAAAATGACTCAACAACGCGAAGGCTCACTACTTTCCGGTATTCAAGCCGTGCGGCTTTTCTGGTCAGTTCATCGCCAGCGAAGCCGAGCTAGTCGGTTGACACAACTCAGCGTAAGCCTTCTAATTAGCTTGTAGTCCTCTAAGTTTACAACAGATTTCACCAAAACAGCGCAGTCAAACTCCATCTTCGGAGAGGAGCACCTCCCAAGACCCAAGTCAGGATGAATCTGCTGACTACGACGATCATACATTCTGCCGCATTTGCCGTCTGAGTGACGATCAACTGCTGGAGAACGTATGCGAGTGCAAGGGAACGATGGGACATATCCACGAACGGTGCCTTCGGATGTGGACCATCTACAAGCGCAGCCAGATGTGTGAAATCTGCCACTCCAAGTTTAAATGGAACTTCGAGCAAAAGCTGTTGGTACTTCCAAAAGCTGGACGGTGAACGGAATCTGATTGACATACTTTTCCATGATTGCAGGAACAATCGACAGCTTGTGTTGTACTTCTTCCGGAGGAAATACTTTTGGGTGCTGTTGAGAGATTTCCTGAATTTCATGGTACTGTTCGGGATATCGGTGTTGCAGAATGCAATGATCTTGACGATGGTTCAAGATGATCAACAGGAGGGATTCAACATAAGATTGCCACTGGCTATTGTTGGCGCATCATTCTATGACTTGTACTTTAGCCGATGGGTTATGAACAGATCGTTGAAAGCATACGATCTTGTTCGGGAGTACTGGATTCTAGCGCATGACGAAGAATTCGTGGGATATTTTGATGAAGAATATGCTGTTTTCGGGGAGAACCAAGCCGAAATCGAAAGTATGCTGTTGGCGGAGTATGAAGCTCCAGATTGAAGCTAAAAAAAAAAAAAACATTTTGGCATCCCTAAATTTCTAATATTTTCCTATTGGAATACAAATTTTCCACAAGTTTGAAAATCGTCCAGCTTCTAAATAAAAATGTATTTGAAATTGTTTCGAAACCTACCTGCTCAAGGATCTATTGCTGTTGCTTCTCTCTTGCGTTCGTAGCCGCTCCCTCCACTGTTTTTATCCACACCAGCTGCTGCAGCGGAAAAATCCGAGTCCACTTCTTCTTGGCAGTGCTCACGAATAATCAAAACTCCACCGCAAAACTTTACTTCCTCTTACACAACTTTTCTCCAACTATTGCCACAGGTAGTTGGACGAAATGCAACACCACCTTCTCTCTTTTGGTTTTGAAACTTTTCTTCTATTCAATTTGTAATTAATTCAATCAATATTCATTACTGGACCGAACACACCCCCAGAAAGAAAGGAAAAAAAGCTTTTCCGGATTAAATTTCCTTTCCTTTTCGCTTCGTGGCCGCGTGCACTTTCTTCTGCCAATAATGCAACTCACTTCGATCGAACCACCCGCGAAATAAATCGAACTAAAGCCAAAGAATATTAATTTTGCAATCACCTCAATTATAACTGTTTCGCTGCAACTCACTTCCTCTATGCCCTCCTCGGTGCGTGTGTACTTGATGCACTTTTATTGCTGGCTTCCTTATATTGCTCACTAATACGAAAAACAATCTTCAACAACACCGTTCTATTGCATTTGATAGAAGTTATCGAATAGAAAGAAAAAAATCACACAAACTGTACGTTTCCACACTTTTTGTATTGGTTGTTACAAAAATACGATAGAAAAAAATCTCCGCTTTGGAAGCCCAAACTGCAGAAGGAAAAAAAAACGGTAAAGCGGATTTGGACAAAAGACACGCGCGCCAATGAAAAGTTTCCCGAATGCACTTTTCTCAACGGTTTCTGGAAAGCGACTGCCGAGCCGCGAAAAGTGACAGCCCCGAACAACCGCGTCGAGTAACGCAACGGACGCAACGCAGCCGAAGTCAGGCCGAAGCTGTAAACAAAAAACGAGAGAATTCGAGAGAGGTTGTAAACAAAGCGAACGAGAAAAATTTGAGATGTCACGTTTGACAATTCATCAGGGCAGATTTTTTTTGCAGTGGGATCGATGGGGAACTGATAAGTGGTAACCAAGGTTCTTAAAAAGGTGGGGAAAACAGTATTAATTAAATAACATTAAGGCCGCGGCCAGGGTAGACGCGACACGCGATGCGACTCACGCAAGGAATAATAGTAAATAATAAGATTCTTTTGAATTGGTCGCGTCGCGTAGCGAATCGTGTCTACACTGTAACTGGAAAGTACCCATTAATGGGTGAAAAAGTGCCCATTTCGAAGTAAAGTAGGTAAACTCATTTAATGGGTAAAACGTCTTTACCCATTAATGGGTAAAGACCTTGTACGTCAAATCATGGAGTACTTTTTTACCCATTTTTAAATAATAATTGGCTTTATAAAATGGGTACAAAGTACCCAATTTTGAAATCCTTAAACCAGGATTTTTCTTTTAGAATTTGTATGATTTATGGATCATTGAAAGAGCCACAATGAATAGTTAAGAATACAAAACGTTATTTATATTTATATCTTTATTTCACCATTTTCCATCCAGTGGTCTTTCCATCGTTCGTGCAAGAAATGGTGCTCCCAAAGCTCTCCTGGGATCTCCTTGCTGATCCGGCTAGTTCTGTCCCTGCAAGTTTCAGATTGATTTTTAGATGTGGGCAGAAAGAAATAAAATAAGAAATACCTACTTTTCAAACGAGCAATTTCCATTCGACATCGTTAAGACACTTTGCGACTGAAGCGAGGACTGGAAGATGTTATCTAAGTTGCTTTTCACCCATTAATGAGTAAAAAAGTACTCCTTATTCTCGCCCGAAGCGCTCTGAGAAATGGGTAAAAGAGTACCCATTATTTGAAATTGAACTTCACCCATTATTTGACAGCCTCATATAGTCATCAAAAATGGGTCCTTTTTTACCCATTAATGGGTACATGGCAGTTGCAGTGTACCCTGGCCGTACCCTAAGGCCCGAACGCAGTGACAGCTTAAGCGGAACGGTAGCAATTTGGGATCAACCAAGGAAGCGACACATATTAATCTCAATTCTAGATGCTCAACCAACTTCTCGTAGGTTTCGATTTTTAGTATGTATCAGCCGGTGTAAATGTAAATGTGAATTGTAATGTATGTAAACATTTGGTATAGGGGAAATGGCTCTAATGTTGGCCTATGGATCTGAGATTGAGCCCATCGCTTAAAATCTGCTATTTATCAATTTTATCTAGACGAACGCGTTATTGGGACGGTACTAATTGATATTTTTGGTTGCTTTTGAAAATTTAGTCGATTGCTTAATTTTTGTATGGGCCCAAATTAGGGACACTTAGGCTGACATTACATACATTTCCTCTATGTTCGAAAAATTTGAGTTTCATTTGAAATTCTAGAAGAAAACAAAAACGAAAATTGTGAACATAACAGGATTTGCTTTTTCCACTCAGCTTCAAGCAACTTGCAACTTCCACTGAGATTGAATCCACTTTGGAATTACCAACAATCAATACGAAACTATCGATTTGAAATTAGCTCACTACTTGACTAGCCAGGGACCAGGTTCGATAGCTGCAGTATAGACTTGATGTGAAGACTTACGTTACCATACACTGCTTCGATTTTCATCCAGAAATAATCCTGGAAATTTTTTGTGTGTTGAATTTATTTTCAAAAACGCTGAATAAATACTTACCTCATCCATTTCTAAAAAAATCAAGACGGATGGACGGACGGGTTTTGTTCTGCTGGTGTCCTCTGGCTGGTGTAAAATAATTCAGTCTTTCAGGTACAGCTTGCTAGTTTTATAATTTTATTGTAAATAATTAAGTCTGGAGCAGAAAAAAACAGTTTCAGGCTTTTTCAGTAGAGTGAAAAGGTAAGGAAAAATCCATCAAGTTTTACGCATATCAGTTGCTATTTGCCAATAAGAGTAAAGAGTAACACATTCTTCGTAGATGCAAAGCTACTGTTTATAAATATAACAATCGAATACTTGATCGAATGTAAACAGTCATGGAAGTGGTGCCAGAATTAATAGAAAATTCTGGTGGAAGTGTGTTTGGAGTGTGTCGAACTGTGGAGTGTTAAACACAAGGTGGCAGAGTGAGTTACCCCTTGAAATAAAGAGTTAAAAAAAACAAAAAAAAACAACTTGCAGATGACGGTGTGGTTTCCGTAAGAGGTCCACATGCCGTGGACTTGCAAGGACCATTGCAAAGTTCCTTAGATAACTTGTCTTCTTGGGCTAGAAATCTAGGGATCGAATTCTCGCCGCAGAAAACTGAACTGGTAGTGTTTACTCGAAAGCGGTACCCAGCCCAAATGCATCTTAATCTTTTGGGCAGAAACATTACTCAATCACTGTCTTTCAAGTACCTTGGGGTCTGGTTTGATTCAAAGTGCACTTGGAATACCCAAATTACGTATTTGAAGCAACGCTTTAAAAAACAACTATTCTCTCTGTTCTAGAGTACGGCTCTTTCTGCTTTCTCTCGGCAAGAAAATGTCGCCTAATAAAATTGAAACGAATTCAATATCGTTGTCTGCGTATTGCTCTTGGCTGTATGCACTCAACGCATAACATGAGTCTCGAGGATCTGGCAGGAGTAACACCCCTCCAAAACCGTTTCTGGGAGCTCTCTCTCAGAATACTAATCAAATGCGGAGTGACGAACACACTTATAATCAGGGTTGCTTCCACTCACTTGCTATAAAAAAATGATTTTCTGAATTTTGAAATCATTCGATGTTATAATGATATTTTGTACTTGTTAGATACAAGAAACAGATGAAAGGCAAGTGTTTGACTCATAAAACCTGTCAATTTTGCTACCAGAGTGTTACAATAAGCGATTTTATTATTCGTGAGCGGTCACTCAGAGTACGTCTCGATTTATGAGAATCTACCACCACTACATATCGTCAGATATGTATCTTTCTTGTTACACTCCAGACCGTGCTCACTTCACCAATCACAGTTCCTCAATTGAATATGATCTGACCATGAAACAAGCAACTCATGGGATTCCCGATCAACTTCGACCTATTATTATCCCGCGTATTTTTACTGAAAAGCGAGCTGAAAAGTACCAATACGTCAATTGCGTGAACAGATATTTTACAGACGAGTCTCGTCAGTTGATCCACTGGCTTCGGTGTCTTAAATGAAAACTCTAGCGCCTTCCGCAAACTCCAGAAACCTTGTTCCGTTTTTGTTACTGAACTGGCAGTAATCAACTTCGCATTGGGGATGATTTCTAGACTAACATTTGAAAGGGGCGTAAGAGCCAAAATGTAAACAAACCATATTTTGCCACATATAGAGAGAATAGTTCACAAACTTCTCGATAAACACGAAAAAGTAGAAGAAAATATCACTTCAAATCACCAAAAACGTTTCTTCTTACATGGCGTATTTCCAACTTTCAAATCTATGATGAATATGGTTGTTACGCCTTGCACCAGAACAACGAATTATATTGTTTTAATATGCCAAACGTATTGACTCTGTAGTATCTAGTCACGCCCGATTCATTTGAAACGCATCCGATTGATATTTCACGTGTAAACAACGAACAAAAAGAAGACCAAAAAAATCTCCGGGCGTAATTCCACTCTCACAAAATTTGCGAACGAAGAACCAAGGCGGAACAACAAACAAAAAATCCCGAGGGTGTACTTCCACGGCGTATCACCAGTGTTGGCAGTTCAAAGGGTGGATGATCTGGGGGGTAACAACATGTATGAAATTATCAGGGCGTATGATGTTTTCTTCTCAATTTCACGACAAAGAAAACTTTTTTTGAGTTTTTAGTGATGCACGATGATAGATTACACTATTAACTATATGTCAAGCTTATAAAATCAACCAGAAAATGGAAAGTCGTGTAATAGGATTAATTTTTAGGTCAACAAAATTCAGAAGCGATTTTCTCGATATGGTCATTTTGGAATTACGCCCTTTTCAAATGTTAGTCTAGATTTCCAACATGCCCGCAGACCATCTTCTCGGATAGTCTCAGTTGTCTTGTCCTCCCGTCTCGATGAGTCTCATCGTCGCCCACTGATCACCATAGCCGGTCGAACTCCAGACGAAACTAGAACCGCACAACAACGTTCTGATGAGACAACGAAACCATACCCCCAAGCTCCTCCCCTGATCCTATCCTTCGATAATGTACCTCTCTAACCTCGAGTAAGCCGCGAGTATTCGGCCCAACTCCTACTAGACATAGAATTAAGTGAATTTTGTTACAAACAAAGAAAAATGAACTATCGGCTCCGTAAAGCTAACGCGATTGAGCCTTCCACATAAACGAACTAGTAAAAAAAACTAACAGGTTTTCGTTATAGTAACAATAAATTTCAAATTAAAAATTACAGAAACGTTTGTTTTTATCAACGCTATCAATACCTTACAGTCGATAGCAGCACCATAGAGGTAACTCTAAGACCACTGGGTCTCGAAGAAAATCATTATTATTTTTGGCTCACTCAGTACCAGAACAACGGTCCCAAGCAGTCCCAAGCTATTTCACTCACCCCTGCATGTTCTGCATGAATCCACACACCCCTGATGTTATCTGTCAAACTTTCATAGCGAATCAAAACAAACATAGTGTAGTAATAGAATTTCAACTAGAATAGGGTACGTTAATTGTTTGCTTGGGACCAATAGGCTACTTAAGTGGTGAGCCAATTTAAAATCGTTAGTTTCGTATTGGCAACTGAAAATATCGCTGAGTTGCAGTCTACGTGAGAACGTCGTTTACTCAAAAGTGAGTCAACATAAGGCTACTCAATTTTGAGTAGCCCTACTTGCCGCTGAGATGAGTACATTCGACTCAATTTTGAGTTGACCAGAATAAGCGTGGCACTATATAATGTCCGAATATCACATCCCATTTTTAACGTAAACCAAAATCATCGAGAGAAGTCATTGCTTACAAACGCTGCTATAAGGCCGTTTTTCCAGCTCTGCATTGATATAAAAAGAAATCATCAATCACCCCTAGCTATTACCATTAGTGACCATTATTTTTCCACTGGGATATACCGCTAGTTTGCAAGTGAAAGCAGTGCTGCCAGCACAGAAGCCGAGCCACTTTTCATTCATAGCTTTGTTGATGTGTCGGGACGGTCTGAAGGGGAGAGTCTGCCGCAATAAATTTGCTTAAAAAGTCATTAAATAATTGTTACAATTTGATTATTAACAGATCATTTATGCAGCTGTTAAGGTGAGTATCATTTTAAAACTAAAGTTGTCCGAAAAATAGTCGATTTAACGGGTAAAATTGCCCAAAAACAATCTCCACTTTTTCCTCTTCTTTTTGACATTTGCTGCGCTAATGTTCCTCGCAATGGAGATTTCAAATTCGCTTTGAAAAATCGATAATCAAGATTGTATACCATTTTCTGCTTGGCTTCGGCAAATGTTCACCCGTAAACTGCAGAATTTCGTTTTAGTTTCTCATCTCGCAACCGATTCCGTAGCAAGAATTTGTCGGTATAGCGAGTTTCGATAGGTAAGATGTCCAAACGGGCGGCGGAAGACGCTGCCGGAAGTGGTGCCACTCCCGGCAGCGGTGGCGGAGCTCCACCTCCGATAAAGAAAGTCCACTTTGAGCCCCACCTGATCGGGCCGATCTCGACCCTGGAGGAGATGGACATCAAGGTGCTGCAGTTCCAGAACAAGAAACTGGCACAGCGCATCGAGCAGCGGGTACGCTGCGAGGCGGAACTCCGGCAGCGCATCGAACAGCTCGAGAAGCGCCAAACGCAGGACGACGCCGTGCTGAATGTGGTCAACCGGTACTGGAACCAGTTGAACGAGGACATCCGTGTGCTGTTGCAGCGGTTCGACGCGGAGACGGCGGATGAGTCGGAAAATAAGAGTGAGTAACGTAATATTAAATTTTACTTTATTGCATAATTTTTGAGGGGTTTGATTCATTCAATGTTTCTGCAAAATTGTGTAATTTCAACATCTAATGGCTTGCTCGCACTACGTCCCTTTTGTACGTGTTAAAACTCCCTCGTCTGAACATGCAATTAGCTTGCAACTTGCCACTCATTTCAAAGTCCCAACATAAATGTATATGTACCGTTTGTTTTGTTTATAACATATTGTAATTCTTCAGTCTTAACATAAGCTGCTAGTAAGGTGTTAACTGAGAATTATTTGTTACTTGAACTTGAAATTCAATTAGAAAGGATGACATTACTTAATCACTCGAAATTTCCTGTTTACACAAGAGTGTATTAGAAAGTAAACAAATACTAGACTTTGGTTAGATACACTTTAGTTAAATGGCTTAAAAACTGACAACTGGATTGAGAATTTGAAGATATTTGCTGCACTCATTCTTTTCCGATAAATATATAATGTTGGGATTGAATACTCACATAGTCCTTGTGACAACTTCAACTGAATATCTAAAATATGTAACATCCGACATGACCTCCCGTACAGTTCAAGTGCAGTTAGACTTTGAAAGTTCAACCCACCCAATCTAACAACACTATCCGTCAGATATCTCTACTAGTTGGTATCGTCATATTTCATGAGTGAGCTTTGATTCACGAAATATCGGTTATTTAAGTCACTACTTCCAAAACCTGTTTCACCTCATTAAAATGCTGGCAGTGATGTGAAGGTAAAAACAATGTTGTTTCCCGATACTCTTTATCCTTACCGTAGTCCAATGTTATGCGCCAACCGATATTGCATAGTTACAGATCAAGCAGAATTTCTACTACAGTCTACTGAATGCCGTCGTGGATAAGGTTCCAAAAGGCGACTTCATTGCGAGAATCGGCTCCGAGAATATGGACTCTAAGTGTGTCATGAGATGCCATGATTTCAGACAAATGAGCGTGAACTGTTTGCAGAATGATCATGGGTTCAATCTCTTCCCTTCTATTAGAGCACAAAGTCACCCCAACAGCTCCAACAATGACATGGTGCTACGTTGAAGAACTTGAGACCCGAGCAGTGGATGTTGCGGAATGTAGCAGCGTAGAAGAGCAATGGATGACCATCGAGAATGTCTTTATCGTGGCGAGTGAGGACAACTTGGATAAGCCAGTGGTAAAACTTGGAGAAAGATTGAGAAGCAAAGAGAAGAACAAGCCGCTATACTGCCGTTATTCGCATAACAGACCCATGTAAATAGGAAATCCACAGAACATGGGACTTTTATGCAAATAGCGGCATTATAGAACTGGGAAGATCCAAGGTCTCTAGTAGAGAGACTTGGAGACTCTGGACCCTTGATATCTTGGTTCAAAACTTTCTTTGCGATAAAATTGGACCTTCACGTTCTGAAGAATTCACAAACGTTTATCAATGAGCTTTCTTTTCTACTGCCACTTGTATTCTACGTGTGGATCGTATGAAGAGTTGGTACTCCCGTAATTTCTTGACGCTCAGCATCAACGAGTGTAACTTGATATCATTCACCCGCAAACATTAGCTGCTCCATTTCCGGGCAAACGTTAGTGAAGATTTAGGAGTTACACTCGACTGTGAACTTACTTTTAAACCGCACTACATTGAAATCCCTGACGAAAAGCTTGGTTGTGTCGCTTTGCCTGCGGCGCTGTACTGCTCGTTAGCCCGATCAATCTTGGAGTATAGTGTTGTCGTCCGGTGCCCGTACCAACCATCCTGGATTGCTATTGATTGAGAGTGTCGACTACCTGGAATAACCTGAAAAATCCGGGCATTTCAGGGACTTCAATTTTGAACCTAAAAATCACGGAATTTCTAATATTCAGGGATTTATTTATTTTTCCTAGCTCTTTACGACTGATCTCTCTAATTTCATACAATGTCATTGCTCGGTGTAGTTTGAAGAAATTTGTCAAATCATAAATAAATTTGCTGGCATGTGGTTGTTTAAATGCTGAGGAAAAGTGATTGGCCTTGAAAATTAAATGGAGCATCACGTCGCCGTAACTCGTTGTAATTTTTTATTCAGATAGCATCAGACGGTGAGACAAAAAGCGACCTTGGTGGACAAATCAAGAAAGCTAAGGTTGCCTGTACGAGTTTGGGAATTTGGAGACAAACTAGATATTCTCCCCCAAAAACTCCCACGATAAGTGAAATTGGGACTGATATGCGATTATGGACAACAAGTGCTTTGTGAAAATATCGGGTGTGGACTCGTTTGCACACGCAAAGAACAAGGCGATAGTCTTTTTTGCAGGCTTTAACGATCTGCTAGTCACGATGCTCAATAAATCAAGCTAGTTCATGGACATTGGACGTGGACATTGTCGAAAGAACTTTTCAGGAGGTGGCGGGTGAAGGGATTAAAGGTGTCTACGACTAGAGCAACCAAGCGCAATAGAGCTCGAATAGACAGAAGTTAGTGTGATCATTGACGGAGATGAGTTCGAGGTGGTGGATGAATTTGTGTACCTAGGATCATTGGTGATGCCGGATAACAATTGATAAATTATTGCCAGAAGTTGTGCTTACTGAGAACTCCACAAGACTTTGAGATCTAGTAAACATCGCCCCCGTACTAGTGTACCATGTACAAGCCGCTGATAACACCCATAGTTTTCTAGAGACGTGTACAATGCCCGAGTAGGACCTACAAGTACTGGTAGTTTTTGAACAACGCGTGCTTAGCATATCATCATTGATGAAAACGAATTATGGAGGCACAGGATTCAACCACAAGCTGACGCAGAATGTTGTTTAAGCTGGTTGTAAGAATGCCGGATAACAATGCCCCCAAATAGTGTTTGTCTCGAATCCGATCGGTACAAGACGCAGAGGGGTGCAGCAAGTTTAGTGGTTAGTCCTACTGAAGCAAGATCTAGAAAATGTGGGACGCTCAAGAAACTGGAGATATGCAGCAACGAACCAAGGTAGAGGAGGTAAAGTTTCAGGACCAGGAAAAGTAAGGTAAGGCGTTTCCTATGGAAACAGAATGAAAACATGTTTCACTGCCAAATGCAAACAACGTATAATTATCCATTCCTATTAGCCTCTAGGCGCAGATCATGCAATCGATTCCCGCATCCGTTCAGAATCTTTATCACACGTTCCATTTTTCCAGACGAGAACGAAGTTACCACTTCCTTCCTGATGCAGCTGTCCACCTGGGACAAAGAGGAGCTGGACGACAAGCTGGCCAACCGGGTCCAGGTCTCGAAACGTGCCGTGGCCAAGATCGTCCAGGTGTTCGATCGTCTCATGCAGCGTAACGACAAAATTACTCGGGCAATGCATGGCGAATCGGACGATCCGGATGCCAACGTGCCGGACATTGACGAAACGCTGCGTCAAAGCTACACCGAAGTGATGGCGGAAAATCGGAACCTGCAGACTCAAAACACGCTGCTGCATGAAAAGTTTCACAAAATTTCCTTAAAAATGAGTGAAATTCAAGACATGCTGAACGGGAAGGAAACGGAATCGGCTGAGTTGAAGAACCAGATCGACGATTTGCAGTACGAGTTGGAGAAGGTCCGTTGTCGAAATGATAAGCTAGAGAACCATCTGGCTGAGGCCATCGAGAAGCTGAAGGCGTACCATCAAATGCACGGTGATATCTCCAGCAAGGACGAGAATAAACACTCGAGTTCGTCAACCAGTTCTGCAAAGGGTAATTTCGATTGAAGATTCATGCTTTAGATGTTAATTATATGCTCTGAACATTATTGCAGGTGGTTCAATGACCAGCGTAGCGGCGCAACATCTGGAAGACCTACAGAAGGAGTTGGAGGAATACAAGGAGCTGGCAAACAATCGGCTTCAGGAGCTGGACAAACTGCACGTACAGCATCGGGAAGCATTGAAGGAAGTCGAAAAACTCAAGATGGACATCCGCCAGCTGCCCGAGTCGGTTATCGTTGAGACGACCGAGTACAAATGTCTGCAGTCGCAGTTCTCCGTACTGTACAATGAGTCGATGCAGATCAAGACGCTGATGGACGAAAGCCGGAATCAGTTGCAGACGAGTAAGAATCAGCATTTAAGACAGATTGAGATGATGGAGAGTGAGGAGTTGATAGCGCAGAAACGTGTCCGCAGTGACATGATTCAGATGGAGGATGTGTTGTCGCAGATTCGCAAGGAGTATGAAATGTTAAGGATCGAGTTTGAGCAGAATATGGCAGCGAATGAGCAGACGGCACCAATCAATCGGGAGATGCGTCATCTGATTACGTCACTGCAGAATCACAACGGCCAGTTGAAAGGTGAGGTTCTACGGTACAAGAAAAAGTACAAGGAAGTTTCGGCCGACAATGTCAAGCTGAGAAAGGAACTTGAAGAGACTACGGGGAAGTTGACAACACTGCAGGAGCAACAGCAAGCGGAAGTGAAAAAGGAGAACGAACTAGCATTGGCCGCTTCCGGGATAAAAGAAGAACCCGGATCATGCGATGGACAAGGTTCGGTGAAGGAGGAAGATCCAAACGATCCCGGTTCCGGAACGGTTAAGTCTGAATCAGGTGAGGAAGGTGATGGCCTCGATCCGAACGGTGTGAAAAAGGAAGAGATCGGTCCGGATGGGAAACCGATCAAATCGGAAGCCCCCGGTACTCCGAAAGGAGACGGTAAAGAACGGGCCAAAAGTGCAGAGTCGGATTTAGTTCGAGATTTGAGAAATCAGCTGAAAAAAGCACTGAACGATCAGAAAGAGATGAAATTGCTGCTGGATATGTACAAAGGGGTCTCGAAGGAGCAGCGAGATAAGGTCCAACTGATGGCTTCCGAGAAAAAAAAGTGCGCTGAGATAGAGGACTTAAAGAATCAACTGAAGAAGGTTCAGGAAAGTAAGCGGGAAGACCGCAAGAAGCTGGCCGACGAGGAAGCGCTCAGAAAAATTAAACAGTTAGAAGAGCAAAAGTATGAGTTGCAGAAACAGGTTCAAAATCAAAAGCAACCGGACAGTGCATGGAGTAGCGGTTACCGACCGTTCGTTGGATCACATGTAGTATTATCAGCTGATACTTTTGTAAAGAACTTTTTCAATGAAATTCGTTCTTGTTTTATAGGAAGAAGAAGCGTTACTAAATGAGATGGAAGTAACGGGGCAGGCGTTTGAGGACATGCAGGAGCAAAACTCTCGGTTAATTCAGCAGCTGCGGGAAAAGGACGATGCCAACTTCAAGCTGATGTCGGATCGGATAAAAGCCAACCAGATGCACAAACTTCTGCGCGAGGAAAAGCAAGTGCTGGAGGATCAGGTAAAAAATTCGATTGTGACTATTGGAAGCTACTCACCCATATTCTTGTTTTCGATCAAACCGTATTTTACATACAAACACTTTTTTTGTTTGGAAAACCTAGACTAACGGCGGGAGAGCCGAAATGTGAACAAACTATATTTTGCAACATATAGAGAGAACAGTTCACAAACTAATCAATGAACACGAAAAAGTAGAAGAAGACAGAATTTCAAATCATCAAAAACGTTTCCTTTTACATGGCGTATTTCCAATTTTCACTTCCCCTACCTTATTGTTATGTTGGTTTGCGTGGGCGTGCCTTAGCTTCCTAGAAATCATCGAGAGAAGAAATTGTTTACAAAAGTTGTTACGTCCTAATTCCAGCTCTATCTAGAATTATATTGTTTCAATATGTAAAACGTACTGATTCTGTAGTATGTAGTCACGCCCGATAAATTTTAAATGCATCCGATTGATATTTCACGTGTAAACTACGAACAGAAAGTAGACCAACCAATCTCCGGGCGTAATTCCACTCTCACAAAATTTTCGAACGAAGAACTAAGGCGGAACAACAAACAACAAATCCCGTGGGTGTATTTCCACGGCGTATCACCAGTGTTGGCAGTTCAAATGATGGAAGATCCGGAGTAAATGTAAATGTAAGAAATTATCGGGGCGTATGATGTTTTCTTCTCAATTTCGCGACAAAAAACACTATTCTTTTGTTTTTAGTGATGCATGTTTGATTACACTATCAAGCTAATAAAATTATCCAGAAAATGGGATGTCGTAAATGGGATTAATTTGTATGTGGTTTTCTCTATATGATTTTGGAATCTCAAATGTTAGTCTAGAAATATGGTTTGAACGTAAACGAGAATATGGGTGAATATCTCAACCCTTAATAAAACAATCTCCTTCCCAGGTAACAACTCGCGACAGTCAGATCGAAGCGATGCATGTTGTGCTGCGTAAGCTGGAGGAGAAGGAACGCATCCTGCAAAACACCGTCACAACGATAGAGAAGGAACTGGTAGCCCGTCAACAGGCAATGGAAATGCACAAACGGAAAGCCATCGAATCTGCCCAGTCCGCGGCCGACCTGAAGCTGCACCTCGAAAAGTATCACGCCCAGATGAAGGAAGCCCAACAGGTGGTAGCGGAGAAGACGAGCTCTCTGGAAGCGGAAGCCTACAAAACCAAGCGGCTGCAGGAAGAACTGGCGCAATTCAAGCGTAAGGCAGAACGCATGAAGAAGATCGAAATGTCCGGCACTACGATCGACGAGGTCATGCTAGAGGAAATTCGCGAGTACAAGGAAACGCTCACATGTCCCTCGTGCAAGGTTAAGCGGAAGGATGCCGTGTTATCCAAGTGTTTCCACGTTTTCTGTTACGACTGTTTGCGAACCCGGTACGAAACCCGCCAGCGCAAGTGTCCCAAGTGCAACTGTGCATTTGGCGCCAACGACTATCATCGGTTGTATTTGTCCACGTAAGAGGTTAGTTTGGTCATTCTTCTTCCAATGGAAACATACCCCCCCCCCCCCCGCTCCCCCGTCGTATCTAAAATCCTTATTTATGGACATAGAGATTTGTAAGTTTTTGTTTCTGTTTGAAATGCTAGGTCTATGTTTATCCATATCCTATGATGGATTTCTCAAAAACTTATAGCATGCATAGCTGCAGCATGCATTACATATTTTAAATAAAATTGTGAATGTTTCCCAGAACAATAAAACTGTAAATTGTGTTCTATCATCCCGGACGATGATGTTACAATATAAATATTATTCATGAATATCTCACTTTTAAGAGGTACCATCCCACTACGTGCAGTGTTTTCAGTTTGAATTTCAGGAATCGTTCTCATTTGGGTCTTGACTGGTACGTGGCGATAGTTACCACGTGCCTTTTCGTTCCTGTAGCTGTGACCGGTATTAAGCTTTTATGTCCGTTCTCTAAGTGATAGTCCATGTAATTCAATTTAGTGTAATCTAGGAATTCTAATGAAATTAAACACTTTCCTAATTACAAAATCAATTATAATTCAACCCACTTGTTTCGGACCGCATATACAATCCGAGAATAAGCGACGTCGGTAAAAAGCTATAAGACAGAACTCACTCAACAAAATACTAAAAAAACCGTTTTATTATTATATATTTAAAGGTCTAAACTGCTGACTTTTATTATCAAAACTCCAATAGGTAAATAAATCCATAAAAAAAAACAAAAGACTGTCGGTTGCAAAACACGCTTTGATTTATTTGTAGGACACACAAAAGAAATTCTTGTGCACACTACCAAACCCCTAAAATGTGTGACTATCACTCAATATCATCATTCTTCCGAAAATCTAGAAATTCTGAAAATTCAAACTCTCCCTCAGTGTCATACAGTCCACTTCGTCGATCTTCAGCGAGTTCGTTTTCAAATTGATCTCCTCTTCTTGCATCACCTGCGTATTGAGCAGATATCTCAGCGTGGCCCTGGACTGCACCAACATCTGATCCAGCTTGGAGACTGTTTCCCGCAGCGCCGCCAACTCCTTCTTCAGGCTATTGTAAACGTTATCCTTGCATAGTTCAATCCCGGGCCGATGGGCTCGGTTCGCCATGCGCACCTGTGCTAGCGAGACGTAACCCTCCTTCTCGGCAATCTCCTTCTCCAACTTGGTGACAGTACGGGTCAGCTCGTTGACCTGATGGACGGTTTCCTTGTGTACGTTCTCTAGCTTGATTTTGGTGTAACGGACTTCGGCGATTCGTTTGCTGTAGGCTGCATTGGTTCGTTCCACCTGATGACGAATGTCTTCGGCGGCCTGTTTGAGCACCTGATCGATGTAGGAGCGCAGCGCTTGGGCCGAGTTGATTTCCTTGGCAGTGCTCTCGATGTTGGTGTTGGTCACCTGGATCCACTCCGGATCGGTGTTGTTGCTAGAGAGAGAAAAAAATGATTCGGTTGATTATAGGGTAGAGCGCTACTTCGTCGTAATCGCCCATTTCCGTTGTATCGATCAGAAAAGATCAATAATATCAATGATTTCACCGTGCTTTAATCAATAATAGGTTTGTTCCGATGCGTTAGCTCATTAGCTACAACATAAATCCTGTTAGAGCGCATTGTATGAATATTTACGCTCATTGTTCTCAAAACAAAAGAAGCGCTCCTAGCGAATCATCTTTTTCTACGTTTATCCGTAGGACGAAGAAAATGTAATGGCGTTTCAATGCGGTAGGACGGAATTGAAACTCGTAGAACGAATTTAGAATCAAGAAGCAGTGTTAGATTTTAGACAATATCTCAACAATTTGTGACCCTTTATCAAATCCAACGGTACGTATGGAAAGGTGAATAAATTTGCAAGTCATTTTTGACACAAATATTCCATTTTTTTGTTTAAACTCGTTCAGAAAAGAGAGGTAAAGCGTGGGTTGTGCTTAGTACGACGGAAATTAGATCAATAACCCTAGGCTACTATTATAGCACAGACAAACAGACATAACATATTGAATATTTCTCACACAAACATTGCCGCCATCTGTTGGGTACACAATGGTGGACAGTACGCTGAACAGATGGCGGTACGGTGTAAACGTCAAACGCAAGGGAATTGACTAGCCACAGTTGGCAGGGTAGAGAACTACTTCGGCCAAATCGCCCAACATCAAATGAATCCATGATTTCGGTGTTAACTGGTAAATTATGCGTTTGGTACGATACTCTAGTTCAAATCCTACCGAACGAAGTCAATAAGAACGCGCGATATGAATGTTTGCACCCAATATTCTCAAATACAAATGAAGCGCTCCGACCGAATCAATCTTTATCTTCATCCGATAGGCCGAAGTGAATTCATTGGCGTTTTAATGCATTAGGCCGAGTTTAGAAACCGTAGACCGAGTTTGGCGTCAAGAAGTAGTGTTAGACTTTTAACAATATCTCATCAATTTGTTTATCTTTATCAAATCTTATGGTACGTACGGAAAGGTAAATAAATTTGGAAGCCATCAAAAATGATAACACTCCGTTTGGTGCTAAACTACGCTATATTATGAAAGACTAAGTGCGGGTTGTGCTTGATAGGCTGGAAATGGGGTAGTTAACTCTATACATATTTTGTGGACTCAGCTGCGAAAAAAAAATTTGTTTGTTTTTTTTTTCCGTCGATCTTGTTTTCCGTGCTGAGCACCAATGCTACCGACGTCCAGGAAGGCAGCTCCCACACCTGGACCCTACCTATCGACCCATCAAACTCATGAACCGGGGACCAACGGCTTTACTTCCCATCCGAAGGAAGGCGTGATCAGAGATGTTATGCCTCAGAACATCCCGGCGGCGCCGACTGGGATTGAACCCAGGCCTGCTGGGGTGAGAGGTAATCACGCTTACCACTAAACCACCGGCGCCGACAAAAAAAAAAAAAATAAACTGGTCGTGGTTAAAACAAATTGTGTTTGTGCAACGTCATTTCCATGTACATCAACACTACATACTGTATCAATTCAATACAAAGCAATATAAATACACAATAGGAGTATTCACTATGCGCATCGTAAACATATAGACTATCGTAAAAATACCAGGGTCCATTGGAATGTAATGGAAGTTTATGCATGTACGAGGATGTACACGTTTACGATGCGCTTTGTGAATACCCCTAATAAATCTCGCATGCCTCAGTCATACCAACACTCAATACGAAACTAACGATTTTAAATTGGCTCACTACTTGACTAGCCTATTGGTCCCAAGCAAATCAATTAACGTACCCCATTCTTGTATAAATTCCAGTACTACACTATGTTTGTTTTGATTCGCTATGAAAGTTTGACAGATAAAATGAGGGGTTCGTGGATTTTCCTATGTTTCGAGGGGTTCATCGATTACCTTGGGACCGAAGATAGTACCAGAGCTGAGCCAAAAAGTTGAGCTCGTTTCTTCGGGACCTTCTGGTCTTAGAGTTACCTCTATGGTCATACGCCAGGACGGCCAAGTATTCGTAGTAAGTTTTTACTATAGCCATCATAAATGAGGGTCATAAAGGGTGTCCACGATGAAATTGCCACACACAAAATTGATTCGCAAAATTCGAGTTTTCATCCGATTGCCATCAAATTTTCAGGGATTGAGAAATAACTATTAAACTTCATTTTACCATTTTACTCGTATTTTATTTACAGTCCATACGCAAATGCCCGCACCTTGGCCTTAACCCCGGCCATAAGATTCTGCACAACCTGTGAATCAACCGTTTTTTGCATGTAAACCCATACTTTCTTCAGTTCCTCGACTGTCTTCATTACCTTAGGTCGTTTAAGAAGGTGCTGCTTCATAATCGCCCAGTACTTCTCGATGGGGCGGAGCTCCGGAGTGTTGGGAGGGTTGAACATTTTCGGCACGAAATTGACCTTATTGTCCGCATACCACTTCAGCACGTCCTTGGAGTAGTGACATGAGGCCAAATCCGGCCAGAAGATTGTTGGGACGTTGTGGGCCTTCAGGAGAGGAAGCAGCCGCTTCTGGAGGCACTCTTTTATGTACACCTGTCCGTTCGTCGTGTCCTGGGTCACGAAAGGTGCACTCCGCTTCCCGCACGTGCAGATGGCTTGCCAAACCAGGAATTTCTTCGCAAATTTGGACATCTTCTGAGTGCGGACATGCTCCGGAACGCTGAACTTATCCTTGGCCGTGAAAAACAGGTTGCCGGGGATCTGTTTGAAGTCGGCCTTCACATATGTTTCGTCGTCCATGATGCAGCATTCAACTTTCGTCAGCATGTTGAGGTACAACTTCCTGGCACGGGTTTTGGCGGACTTGTTCTGCTTCTCGTCGCGATTAGGGGCCTTTTGTACCTTGAACGTTCGAAGCCCAGCCTTAGTTTTGGCCTTCTGGACAAAACTTCGGCTTAGGTGCAGCTTCTTAGCCACATCCCTAACGGAGGCGTTCGGATTTCGGTTGAAGGCCCCAACTACGCGGTTGTGATTTTTGGTGTTGTACGGAATACTTTTTCCTTCACTTCTGGGCTTCCGATCGGTGGTCAACCGTTCCTCGAATCGCTTAATCACTCGCGACACCGTGGAATTCGCGATTCCCAACGTTTTAGCGATGGAACGATGCGAGAGATCCTTGTTCTTGTGATGAATGCGCAAGATTTTATCACGCACGAGCTGTTCTTTCGACTCCATTTCCGCGAGTTTTGATCACAGGACTTTAAAACTTGCAGGATGTAAATAATGCACTATGAACTAAATCCACCCAAATTTTCATTAAATTCTACCCAACGGTTAAAAAGTTAGAGCAATTTCATAGTGTGGCAATTTCATCGTGGACACCCTTTATCTTCGATCAGGTGTTTTCTAATACATTCTTCTTCTTCACATATCAAGTCTATTGCGTGCTCTCAACTACATAAGTGTTCTAGATGCACTTCCACAGTTATTAATTGAGAGCTTTCGATGCCTGTACCATTTTTGAACTAGGATAATTGTGTGGCAAGTATGCCTTATACCCAGCCCAGGGCTGAAAGTCGCCTTAATAAAGAAATAAAAAAATACTCTATGCCCAGGGAAGGCGAGAAATGTTCCATTCCGCAAAATTACTAGACCGGACAGTGAATCGAACTCAACAAACCTCCAGCATGGTCTTGCTTAGTAGCTGCGCCTTTACCGACTGAGCTAATGGACCCCGTGTAAGTCAGGCAGAATTTACAAAATATATGATTGGATGAGGTCAGGAAAATGTTGGTATGTTTGGCTCGTATTTTTGTGTTTTAGTCTGTTTCTAGTTATTCCATATACGGAACAAGGTCGATCATGCCTATTCTGCGTGGCGTGTGAGGTGAAGTGACTCGCCGTCACTAGTGAAGTGACCAGGCCAGTGACAAGGCCTATACCAACAGCAGCGTTTGACAGTAGGCAGCTCTCCATTTGATTTGCACGAAGACGCACTTTACACTTACCTCACACGCCGCACAGAATAGGCCTGGATATCATGTACATAAATCAAATCACACAACACAACAGATCAATGAAACTTCTGAACAGGGGTTGAAACGGTTGACGTTTTTTACTACACTCGCTTCGTTGTTGTGCACGACAGTCTGCTAGTATTTGTACACTTATGCTCTACCGTCGTCTCTCTCACACAACACAAGCGAGCAAAAAGAAAATTATCAAATAACTATCATAGGACATGTGTGATTTCGTTCTAATTCCTAAATTTGGTGTAAATTAAACCATTTCTGATCAGAAATGTTATGACTAGGACATCATTATATGCTATTTCCCGAATTCACACAAGCACGGCTGTTATTATGAGAAAAACTAAAATACATAAATTCGTGACGGCCTTCGGTGACAGCGTCGCATGACAGAGCCTGTCATATGACATTTTAGTTTGGTACTGTACTATGATAGCTGGTTTTGCAAATGTCGAAGGCAAAGGCAGTCGATTATCACAGAAAATGTGTCGACTACTGGTTCTGAAATCACGCTACACAAACGACCACAAGCAGCGAAATCACCCGAAGCAGTCAAGTAGTCAAGAGAAAACAAAGCAACGAACCCACGAGAAGGATCTACGCGAATCGATTATGTACTTCGGGAGCAGGTACTATAGACGCTATATTTATAGTCCGGCGGATAGAATTTCGATCTATCAAAAAGCGGGACCAATTCAATATATTGTAGACCAACAATTGAAAAGGTACTACCAACTTTTATAAACAAAACGTTGATTATTCTTTCCTCGCCAATCGAACGCAAATTACCAGCATCATCGAATAGGGGAAACTTGCCCCAACCCAAAGACGGTGTTAGTTTACGTAGGCCCTACTTGAGTCACGAGAAAAGGGTTTCCGAAGTTTTGTTCGTAATAGCTGATGTGCTCTTTTCTGTTGTTGGTCGTGAACGTGATATACTCGATTGGTTCCGCTATTTGACAGCTCAATTGGTTCCCGAGATTCTATCCGCCAGACTATGAATATAGCGACTATAGTAGGTACCCCATTTGACACAACACCGTTTGGTATAATCAGGGTAACGTCAAACTCTTCTCAACTGACCTAATATCGCCTTTCTGATTGCCAATGTACCAGGAGCGCCACTCGATGTAATTGGATGATCGTTGCTGACCTTTTTCATCGCTAGATGGTGTGTGAAGCAATATTATGTTGGGTCGCCATTGCAATGTTTGGAAAAGGCATGAATGGATCATATTGTTAATATGATATACCTATTTGGAATAATACTTGATCATCCTGAAGTAATGAAAAAATATCCAGAGAAGTTTAGTATCTAATCACTTGATGGTCTTTGAAATAATTTCTGAGTCACGTGGTTCCATAAGAGAATATATGAGAGAAGCAATTTAAATAGTTGGATACCTTCAGAATGGTAGCTATTTAAACTGAAGGCTTGAACAAATATCCTGAGGATTTAATGGAGATATCTGATCACCTAATGGCGTTTGGAATATTTTCTGAGCTACCTGGTATCATAAGAGAATATCTGAGAGACATTATTTGAATTGTTGGACAGTTTGGGATCTTCAGAATAGGATCTGATCAACCAGATGTCTTCAGAATATTACATGACCAACATGAAGACCTGAAAAATATCTTGAGTACTTTATGGAGATCTCTGATTACCTGAAGGGTTATGAAATAATTTCTGAGTCACTTGGTATCATATGAGAAAATATCTTAGGGATGTGATTTGGATTGATGATTATTTATGGAGATTGCTGATCACCTGATGACCTTTGAAATGATTTCTGAGCAACCTGGTATCGTGGGTGGAATATCTGAGCGGCGTGATTTAAATTGTTGGACAGTTGAAGATTTTCAGAATAGTACTTGATCAACATGAATACTAGCAAAAATATCATAAGCAGTTTTTGAAGATTTCTCATCACCTGAAGGTCTTTGGAATATTTTCTGAGTCACCTGGAATCATGAGAGAATATCCTTCTTGGAGATCTTAGAACCTGGCTGCTCACTGGCTGGTATCATATGAGAGAATATCTGTATGATGTAAAAGACGCAAGCGCTTTCATGAAAATTTGTGAAGATCCATGCATTTCCATGAAGTTTTATAATAGGGGAAATGGATGTAATGTCGGCCTAAATTAACCTAATTTGGGCCCATACATAAATTCAGCAATCGGCTGTTTTTTTTTCGTGAGCGAATTAAACACATTATGGCTTTAAATTTGTTAATTTGTGTGCTGAAATTTGGTTGCAAGTGTTCATAAAGTTATCATTTAGTGATATATCGTGTTTTGCCTGTGTTTGCCTTGAGATACAACGCAGATTCAGTTCCATTGTTCGGTGTCGGCAGCCCGGTTCTCCGAGTTCGGATGTACACTTTCGGCGTGTAGTTCTATTGAGAGATCGGTCCGGTTGGCGAATTAGCCCGGGAACGTGTTGATTATGTGTCCGTCGCGAGTTTTGGTGGCCGACGTTGCCATGAATCAGCAAGTTTGCCGCTTGCAAAAGTGCTCGGCTGCTGATCTCTCGCCGGTGTCGGAGATTGCGAGCAATATGAAAGATGCCTCGCTGGATACGCCCAAGACTGGACGGGTGACAGTTGGTGACCGCGAACTGTTCCTGGGGAAAGCACTACACGCGAACCTCCTCCCAGATGACCAGGACAATGCAAGAAAATTTGTGTTCGTTAAAGGAAGTATTACGACAAAGGTGCATCACGAAATGAGATGCAAAGCTTAGAGAAAATCAAAATTACGGAACCCATGGATTGGAGGATCAAATTAACATGGTGAGACCAGTCCAAATACATTTTACAATTAAAAAAACGTAAACTAAATAAGTGCCAGGTTTGAAAAGAATATATTCGAACCTGGAAGCGTGTATGTAAGACCAATATCCATTTGATAACGGTGATGCATACATGCAGGGCTTATTGTAAGTCAAAGTAACCTCGGAATGGGCGTGGCTCTCCAGACATTCTGAAATGGGTTGCTGGATCTGCAATAGAGCTATTACCTTTTAACTCCCGGACTAAAGCTGTCTACAATGACCGTAAATGCGACATTGTAGAGAGAGTTCTTCCATAATAACACTGCCGGCCAGTGGGGGTTAGAGGGAATAAACACACACAGATAGGGGAAAAGTTGGCTTCGGCAATACCTTAACCTATTATCGTCAGGGGGGTAAACAACGTCATTGAGAGCTCAATTTTGGCATGTGGATACATTGTATTTAAGAGCAACTATTGGCCAAATTTGAGTGCTCTAGGACTTTGTTTACCCCCCTGACGATAATAGGTTAAGGTATTGCCGAAGCCAACTTTTCCCCTACATAAATTCAGCAATCGGCTAAATTTTCAATAGCGACCAAAAATATCCATTAGTATCGTCCCAATGACGCTTTCATCTAGATAAAATTGATAAATAGCAGATTTTTAGCGATGGACCGAATATTAGATCCATAGGCCAACATTAGAGCCATTTCCCCTATACTATGAAATTTTCAGAATAATTGGATGACATTTGGACTTTGGTTCTGGAATATTGTCTATGTGGATAACGCCTAAAGGTATGCAACGGTTCATTTAATATTTTGCTTCGATTATTGACCAGTTCAATATAATCAACATTACTTATATCGTAAGTACAATATACAACAATTGAAAAATTACGCTAAGTTTAAAAGCACGCGTCAAAATTTAATTTTTCTCATCTCCTACATGTTGGAAATCTTCCACATCCCGATCTCCAAGAAAGAAGACAAGCCGAGAATTGCCAAAGAACTACATCACTTTTTTTCTGCTCGTAAGTACCAGGATAGGACCACAGAATCCTCAAAGCCCATACTTACTACGGATCCAGGGGCACCGTTCCATCGTACACCTTCATCCCCATCTGATTATGCCGCAGTTCAATATTTTTCGCGTCAATCTGAACCGATTTCTCCTTGTTCGACAAGTCCCGATCCAGCAGATAAATCGCCGCTCTCAATCGTCTCAGCTGCTCTACGCCTTGCTCCATCAGCTTGTGCAACAGCTCGATGGCCCCATGGATCACTCCCAGCTCCCTCTGCAGTTCCCTATCGACATCATCTAGCACCAGATCCACTCCCTGGCGCATCTCCCGCATGATGATACATTTCTGGCATATCGGTACGGCAATCTCCCGTAGGGTGTTGATGGCATCGATCGTTCGCTGTTTGTACACCTTCAGCGCTTCCTCCTCGATGTGGGCATCCTTCTTTTGCTTCTTCAGTTCATCCTGTCGGAACTTGATGTCCTCGATGCGTTCCTTCAGCCGAAAGTCCGATTCGTTCTTGTTCAGCTCGGTGGTAAACTTGGTCTCGTCGATCAGCCGTTCACTTTCGCTGCAGATGCATGTAGTGAAAAAAAAAATGAGGATTTTGGGTCAAATCAGATGGGTGGAGACATAAAAAAAACGGAGGGCACTTACCAAATGATTCGCTCGGCCAATGTTTGCTGGTTGAGCGAGAACACATTTTTGGTGCGATTGTTTAGGTCCCAATCACGAGGAGTGTACTTGGGCCGACCGGGTGCGAAAATGACCAGGTTTTGATTGGCCAAGTCGTGGCGGTGGGACATGATTTCAGAGGGATTTGATTCGATTGTAGTACGGATTGATTAACTGCTGCTGGTAGGTAATCGATATCAACAAACAAATAACGACGGAAACGGATCGCGAGCGGTTGTCATGGGAGAAGCACGTTCCTCATGCTAGGTGTGGAATTGTTCACCTTGAGGGACGGCGTTTGCATGCAAGGATGTCATCGAAAACAGTCACTAACCACGAATCAAATTTCAAATCAAGCGCTTTTATATGATCTTTTCTTAATCGATTTTTTCGTTTTTTTTTGCAATTTTTACATTTTTATTTCTTCACCCTCTGCTTCTTTTTCGTCTTCCATTTTCTTCAGTTTGATTAGTTTGCACTAAAAACTAGGCTCCAATTTATTCTTCTTGTTCCTAGGTAAGTAATAATAGAATAGCTTTTCTTCTTTCATTTTGTTTTGTTTTTTTTTTTTATTATTAAAAATGGTAAATTATATAACAAATAAAAGGTCCTACGTCTTCATTTCGTGTGTTCTTTAAGGTCATTTGTTTTAGGTTTAAGGGTAAATTGAGCTACCTGTACGCAACAGTACGAAAAATTAATTCACTTCTCCTGGCTGGCGATGAAATTCGTACAAAAGTTGGTATAATATCAAAACATTTTGGCGAAAAATGAGCTCATCCAGGAGAATCTCGACGAGGCTAGTATTGTGGTTGTGGGACCAGGAAATAACTAAACAAAGGAGGATGCTAGTAGTGGTCGGCTGGTTGGTATCATTTGTCTATTACAATGTCGTGTATATTCAGGTCTATGGTACAAAAAATTCACTATTGTTTGCATGTGTGTTTGTGTTTGGATACCGATTTGTTTCCACCCATTTCGATCACCATCATCGGGGGAGGTTCCACTTATTGCCTAATTGTTTTGAAAAGTTACCCTAAAATCAGTCAAATTAGTTTAAATATGTGTTCATTTAAATCCAGACTATTGCATTTTTGTTGTTGTTTGTTATATTCTCGGTTGCAGTTGGTTGGTTGGTTGTTTGCTTTCTGTTTGTATCTTATTGTTGTTTCAATAATTTATCTATATAGCTTAAGACAAAACAGAATCTTTAAAAATTAAGACTGCTTCATTATTCTATTGGTAAAGAGGTTCCATCATTAAAATTAAGTTAGCATTTTTTCACTTTTACTCCACTATATAATGTATAATATGGTTATTTTTTTTGTTTAAGAGAAAACAAACTATTGGTCATTTCCCACTCTTGTGTTGCTTGTTTGCCTAGCTGTGTCCCTCTGTAGAATGATTATTCTTCCTTCTTGCTTCCCCTTCGCCATCATCGAGCTAGTGATTAAAATAACTATTATTTTCAATTTTTTGGAGGGATATTTGGCTAAAGAAGGTTACATTGTCAGGCTTCCTAACTATATAAGAAAAAAAAAACTCGTCCTATTTTGTTGCTTTGCTTAAACGTTTTTGTTTTTGTTTCCTTTACGATTCACACCTTTCGGTTTGGTTTCCTACTCCTTTCTAGTCGGTGCCACTGCTGCTGCTGCTGCTGCTGCTAAAACATTGCGTATTTATGTAACAAAAATAAATCCTTCCCATTTTGCATTTCGCTTCCTACATGTTTCCTTTAGTTCACTCGTTTGCCCTAATTAACAGAAATGAAAAATCTCAATCGTGCCTTTTTTAATATGTGTTCTTTGCCTTTCCCTAAAACGTGGTTGGAGGAATTTAGACGATCCAAGTGGCTGTAAACACTAGGAATTCAAACCTTACATCGGCATTTCTAATGCTTGTAACCAGGGTTCTTAATGACGTTAACGCCGTCGTTATCGTCTTCAATGCAAATTCCCATTGAAGAAGTTAACGTCATTTACAACCCTGCATGTAACATTTTATCCAGGATTGCTAATGCTTACGAAGCTCTTAATCGACTGGTAAGACTCAAACCAAAGCTTATTATAAGTAGCAAAAGTAGGCCTAAAGCTGATAACCATTAGAAATTCTCATATAAAGCTTTGATTTAGTGCTTACTTGCGAACTTTGGAAACTCTTGCCAAATGATTACTTTTGATTTATCCTACCTTTTCCATCTCGATTTCGATTTTGCAATAGTACCTATATTTAATTTTTTTTAATCAACATTGAGTTGCTTCCATCGGCCCACCGATCGTGGGTGTTTATGGGATACCAGTTTTATACTTTTACATTTGAGGAACTTAACGTTTAGCTGTGTAATAGTATGTTTTGTTTTTAGTACATAGTGTAGTAATAGTAATAGTAGTGTGTGTCCACCAGTCGCGAGGGTTTATTCGCGCGCCCGAACATCGTACGGTAATAAGTCATTTATAATTTTTCATTCGGTTTTAGTTAAACAATAGGTAGAAGATTTAAACAACAAAAGACGAATGTTCTTTGACAGTGAATCGGTTCGGATCATTCTCGCACTAGATTCCACTTTTTGTTTGTAATTTTGTTAATTCTAACGACTTTTACACACTTTTTTCATTGCAGAAAAGGAGAATTTTATAACAATTTCAAACTTTATACAGCTTTTCTGCACGCTTATCTGCTAAACATATTCCAAACCAGTTGTTTAAGACATGTTTTGATTCAAACATTGAAGCCGCCATCTATTTGTCAGTAGTTCATGCAGTCGTTATGCCTGTTCACACTCACATAGATGGCAGCACTGTTTTTTTTTAAATCAAACCCTGCTTTGAACAACTGATACCGATAATTTTTTTCAGGCTATTTTCAGTTTGATGATCATCAGATTTTGAATTGTCAAGATGCGTAATACAGTTTTAGCTAGACACCATTCATTCACGACTATAAAATGTTGGTATCAATACATTTTGATTCGTTCGTCGAGCGAACGTATTGGAAAACGACGATCAAAAATGGAAACTTCAACAGTATTTTTCTTAATTCACACATCGTCGCAAATCTCATTCAAGCGCTCTCACCATAAATTTTGCTTCATGTGTGCCGTATTTTTGTTTTGCTCGAACAGTACTTTTTCCTTCAATAGTGGTCAATCGCGTAAAATATTGCCTGTTCACTCAGCCAAACTTCTTTGTTTTTTTCTTCTTTATCTCACACGCAAAGTTATGCAGCTACCGTGAAAGCACCACATTTCAAAGTCGTCACTGAGTCTCCAGGGAAAAGGGCTTCAGTACATAGATACTAGTTAGTACCAATTGTGTGTCTTTTAGTTTGGAGATCTTTATTTAACAATGAATCAATCAATTATCAGAAACATAAAAAAATAACTTGGAAGCTTGTTCCTTAATGAGTCTGATAATAAAGTTTATAAACACAAATTGTATGATAAATGTATAGAGATAGAGCAAAAAAGGCCCCTTTCAGCTCCTGAAGGGTAATGCTCATTAACTCGTTGGTTAACTAAATAAAATGTTGAAGTTTAATTTTTTTAACCAATGTTCGAAAATAAACAAACAATGTAAAGTGTAGGTAATTTATATGTAAAATTAATGATAATCGTTGTTCAAGCAGTTTAAGAAATCTAACGGTGTTGTTAACGGTATTGATTCGACAAAAGAAAGTACTAACCTAACAATTTTCAATCATATGTTTTGGAACAAAAACCATTTTTGCTCATTCATACTTTGGTACAAGAAAAAAAAAAACGAAACCAAAAATAAACAGTTCTTTTAAATAAAAAAAATAAAAATAAATCATTTTTTCAAAATATGGTGCTGTTACGGTATCAGCTAATTTTTGCTTTGCTTCCTCCACTATATACTCTGTACAATTATTTCTCGCTCTACAAATATGCACTTACTGTTACTGTTGTTTCTGTTGCTGCCTTCTCGGTTCTGCTGGATCATCATCAGTGTATTATTATTGGTTGACGCGCGCCTTATGTAGTACAAAAACTGTTGCTGCTCTTACTTTTGCTGTTTTTCTCCAATTGTTGTTTCAACTCTCGGGGGAATTAGACTACTAATATTTTCCTTTTTTTATTATATTATAAATCTTCTAAAATTGTTGTATTCCATTCTAGGCCTGCAATTAGAGAGATGTAAAATAAGGGGAAAATTAATGTGGTTTGTTAGATTTGTAAACACAAGATATAATATTTAAAAGGTTGCGTTTTCGGGTTTGAAGTACATAAAGTGGGTCATAGGGCCAGGTCTCCAGTGAAAAGTCACTGTCCATACTGCACCAGGAAATAATAACCACAGGGGTCAAATGAATTCTGCAGCATGCTTAAAAATGCCGGATATTAAGAAAAGTTATTGAATACAGGAATCCCTGGATAGTGCAGTCCACCCGAGGGGGGCGACACATCTAAATCTCAATTCTAGATGCTCAACAAATCTCACTCTAGCGAATCAAACTTCGAAAAACATACTTTCATTTCTCTCATCTACTTGCATCGCGCATCATCTTTTTGCAGGAAATCTTCATAATCGACATCAATCTTTTTTCTATCTACTCAGCGTGTGCGCAGCTACACTGAAACAAAATCCATTGGCAAAAATACTATATTGCTGGTTTAAATTAAATACTTTCACCAATAGATTTTTGTAGAAAACCATTTCATTTGATTTTACGATTATTTCAATCAAAATTACTATGTATTTTGAGCAAGCATAGTAGTTTTGCCAGAATCATATTAAATTTGTTAAAATTCATAGTCAACTATACTGAATTCATAGTAGATGTAACAGTAATAAGCGTGGTTATATTGATAATAAGTGTTTTCTGCAAAATAGTATTCCTAACTATGGTCCTTCTTTCAGTGTAACCACAGCAAAACACAATTTGTCCTGCATCGTAGATAGAGTCGCCCCCTCGACCTCGAGTCCACCCACCGCTATTTCTCGACAGTCCTCGGACTAATTGAGCTGATGTTTTGTATATGATTAGTTTCAACCACATTCTATATTCGGGGCCTCCCTTAGCTCAGTCAGTCGGTAAAGGCGCAGCTACAAAGCAAGACCATGCTGGAGGTGGCTGGGTTCGATTCCCGGTCCGGTCTAGGCATTTTTCGGGTTGGAAAATTTCTCGACTTCCCTGGGCATATAGAGTATGATTGTACTTGCCACACAATTATACTAATGCAAAAATGGTACAGGCATTGAAAGCTCTCAATTAATAACTGTGGAAGTGCATCTAGAACACTAAGTTGAGAGCACGCAATAGACTAATATGTGATATGCAATAAGCTTGAAATGCGAAGAAGAAGAAGAAGAAGAATATTCCATATTCACCATACCAATATTCGCCTTATTCGGGAGATTCTTGTGTAGGAGCAGTTCTAGGTAAAATAGCGAAAAATTAAACAAATTTTAGATTTTACCACAGACAAACAAACACTCGCAAGTTGTTCATCGAACAAGCATTTAACGGTCAATTTAAAAGTATCGTAGTTGGTAGTACCGCCAACTGAGGCGCGCATAGTCAATTCCCTTGCGTTCGACGTTTACACTTTACCACCATCTATCCAACGTACTGCCCACCACAGATAATGTTTTAGCGACGATGTTTTACAGTGAGATATATTCAATGTGTAATGTCTGTTTGTCTGTGATTTTACCATTCATAATTCCATGAAACTTTGCTAGGGGCAATCAAGTTTGTGCTGCAATTCAGCCATTTTGACTCCCGCTTGATTTTTCAAAATAGCGTATTCGATATTTTTCAATAAATCATACTACGCTCATCTTATCAAAATGACGTCCGAAGTATTTTCATTTCCCGGCCATTTCTAACTACCCGTGAATCGGGAAACAGCTGATGGCCTTTTCCAGGAGTTCCCCGGAATCGGGAAATATTTTTATCCAGTGACCAGATATAATTGATGATAGTTGTGCGGAGGTGAACCAGCCTTCAGCCTGGGGGCCTCCCTAATAAAGCAAACTTAACTTAACTTGTTGATAGGTAGGGGAAGGAGGAGCATAGTGAACAGATGGGGCATAGTGAGCATCCCGCAGTTTGGCCCTGGATCTCTAGCTGCATGAAACAAATCAACTGGTAGTAGGTTCAATATCATAATGATATTGATCCTACCTCCAATAAATGTGTTCCGAACAGCCGGAAGCCCAAGCTGGTGTACGGGATGCTCACTATGCCCCTCTTACCCATATTTAATAGAATTACCACGTCCGCCACTATAATGAAGCATAAAACATATTTCAATAAATTTTATTATTTGGCTTTCCTCCAGGAAGATTTTCACAAATTCCCCCGACTGTTTCTGATTTGCCCTAGTTTCCTGCAGGAATATTTCTTCTGGACATCTTCTGGAAGTTTCTGTCAACCTCGCCTTGAAGAGTTTGACCGGATGACTCTTCAGAATTTTTCTGAAAGTTTGTTCCGGCTTCCCCAGAAGTCATTGAGACTGCCATTGCATGTGTCTTCTGAATTCCAAAATCTCTTACAATGCAATACAATCTAAAATGAAGTGATTTGCTGTTGATTTCATCGTGCTTCGATATTATCTCATCCAAAGGATTTGCACATCGAATTGAAATGTTTGGCAAGTAGTGCAAATTCAACAGCAAATAACTTTACATGAACATGATGTTTTTTTTATCGTGTGCGAACATAGATTCGGACTAGGGTTGGCAGTACCGGAGGCTTATTTCTTAAACCGGTTTTCCGATATTGAAAAATCTTATACCGGTAAAACCGGTATTAGGAGGAACTACAAAAAAAAAACTGCATAATTTTAAGATAAAGTGTCTATTGGTAAATGATTCAGATAGAAATTCGGTAAGATTTAAGAACGCAAAGAGCGTTTATCGTATTATCTCCCAAAACGAGAACGGATCTTACTGACGAAGTTTCCCGAAACCGAAAATGCTAAAGGGTGATACGGTCAAAATTTGGTCAAGGGAAAACGCGTGTAAATCGGTGAAATCGTTTATTCAAAAAATCAAATTAAATTTCTTTCTCAAGTTCAATTAGTATAAAATGCAGGAAAAATATTCAGTTAGGCTTCCGCTTTTCCAAATCCGAATTGCCGGGCCTTACGCTTGACCCCTGCCATCAGATTTTGTACAGCCACCTTGTCCACCTTCTTCGCCGCAGATAGCCAGTTTGCCTTGAACTGCTGCTCGCCCTTAGCAGTGTTTTTGGTCTTCTTTAGGTTCCGCTTGACAATAGCCCAGTATTTCTCAATTGGGCGGAGCTCTGGCGTGTTGGGAGGGTTCTTGTCCTTGGGAACCACCTGCACGTTGTTGGCGGCGTACCACTCCATGGCCTTTTTACCGTAATGGCAAGATGCCAAATCCGGCCAAAACAGTACGGAACAACCGTGTTTCTTCAGGAAAGGCAGCAGACGTTTATTCAAACACTCTTTCACGTAAATTTCTTGGTTGACAGTCCCGGAAGCTATGAAAATGCTGCTTTTCAAGCCACAGGTACAGATGGCTTGCCAAACCAGATATTTCTTTGCGAACTTTGACAGTTTCATGTGCTTGAAAACATCTGCTACCTTTCCCCTTCCTTTTGCCGTATAAAACTCCTGTCCCGGAAGCTGCTTGTAGTCGGCTTTGACGTAGGTTTCGTCGTCCATTACCACGCAGTCAAACTTCGTCAGCATCGTCGTGTACAGCCTCCGGGATCGCGCTTTGGCCGTCGTATTTTGTTTATCATCGCGATTTGGAGTCACTACCTTCTTGTAAGTCGATAGTCCGGCTCGTTTTTTGGCTCGATGCACGGTTGTAGACGATACACCCAGCTTATTTGCGGCATCTCGGAGAGAGAGGTTAGGGTTTCGCTTGAAACTACCGGCAACTCTCTTTGTCGTCTCAGCGGCTTCCGGTTTTCGATTTCCCCCCGATCCAGACTTCCTGGCTGTCGACAAACGTTCCCCAAACACTTTAATTACATTTGTAACGGTTGATTTGGCAACTTTTAGCGATTTTGCCAACTTTGCGTGCGAGTAGCTCGGATTTTCGCGATGCGCGAGCAAAATTTTGATACGCTGCTCTTCTTGCTTGGACGGCATTTTGACAACTGAAGAGTGAATTCCAAAATCAAAATAGGAGCAACATTCTACACACACACACCTTCAAAATGAGGGGTGTTCAGGTTTTTTAAATGCAAAATTGAAAGAAATACGTCAAGTTGATATTGACCAAATTTTGACCGTATCACCCTTTATTTCGGAGTCCACTGTTGTACTACCCTTAATCGCATATCAGTTCCATCTTTGCTTGGTTTCCTATCCATATGGGACAGTTATGCGATTATGAGCAGTGCAGGACGTACAAAGGGCATGGTAAATCATCTTCATATATTTGCCTTTCAAACCCCTCAGCATCGTAGTAGGCAAACTCTTGTTTAATAACTTGTTTCAAAATGTTTGCTGACGTTGATGCTGAATTAGTTCTAGATAGACCTGTACCATAGAGGTATCTCTAAGACTAGAAGGTCCCGAAGAAATGTGCTCAACTTTTTGGATCAGCTCTGATACTATCTTCGATCCCAAGCTAATCCATGCGCCCCTCGAAACATAGGAAAATCCACGAACCCCTCATTTCATCTGTCAAACTTTCATAGCGCATCAAAACAAACATTGTGTAGTACTAGAATTTTGTCTAGAATGGGGTACGTTAATCGATTTGCTTGGGACCAATAGGCTAGTCAAGTAGTGAGTCAATTTCAAATTGTTAGTTTCCAACGGTTGCCTGTACGCCGCCAATTTTCATACTGTCGAAATTGAGCCGGCGCGCCGCCGCAGTAAAATCAACAATCAATACGAAACTAACGATTTTAAATTGGCTCACCACTTTAGTAGCCTATTGGTCCCAAGCAAACGATTAACGTACCCTATTCTAGTTGAAATTCTATTACTACACTATGTTTGTTTTGATTCGCTATGAAAGTTTGACAGATAACATCAGGGGTGTGTGGATTCATGCAGAACATGCAGGGGTGAGTGAAATAGCTTGGGACTGCTTGGGACCGTTGTTCTGGTACTGAGTGAGCCAAAAATAATAATGATTTTCTTCGGGACCCAGTGGTCTTAGAGTTACCTCTATGGTAAAATC